GGGTTAAATGCAGAGCACAAATTCCGAATATGGGTCACCATACTCTGCCACACTTCACTTCACTCAAGATGTTCTATAGGCACTGTATTTTCTTACTGCCACTTTCTATTTTGTGAACCTCGACAGTGTTTTTCTGCACATCAGAACTGTATTCTTTAGTTTTTCAATTGTTTTACTTCAGTGAAAGGTTAGATTTTTGTGAATATTTTCAAAGAAAGACCAAAAGGATAAACAATGTAGACTTATTTTCACAGCCGCCTTTGCTCATATTTACCAAGGGGGCTAGTAATTCTGACCTCAACTACATGTGTATGGATATATTTATCATGTGGTTTCCGGAGTAATTTATTTGCATATTTTTGAGTTTTGTACTAAATCAACTTTCTTTTTCAACCATAGGTTCTGATCGAAAAATACAGCTACATTGAGAACTTCAACTTAGTCGATGGACGACTGTTCATTTGCACGGTCTCCTGCCTTTTCGCCATTGTAGCTTTAATTTGGGATTACCTGCACCCGTTCCCAGAGTCCAAGCCTGTACTGGCGTGCTGCGTCATATCATATCCTTCACTGAGCAAACTCCCAACAGAGTGGAGATGATTTACATTGGAGGTTTGACAGTGTAAATGAATGTAAACTGGGCACTGCTTCAGTTTTTATCCTTAACAGATCCACACATACTTCATCATGATGGGGATTTTGACCCTCTACACCTCTTACAAAGAGAATAACATCTTCCTCATGGCCATGCAGAAGGACCCAGCTGGTATGGACCCGGATCACATCTGGCAGCTGTCCTCTAGCCTAAAAAGGTTAATTTTGCATTTGTTTTTCTCCTTTTATTTATAAAATTGTATTTATTTTATCTTTCTGGATAGGGCAGCATGGTATTTGTTTTATTTTTTCCCCAATTTCATTTTTTTTTCAGTATTTTTCCCAAATCCTATGTTTTCCATGTTAACTTTTCTAGATTCATTTTTCATGTTGTAGTGAAATTTTAATTAAAAAAGCATGCCTTATCAATTGAATTCATAAACCTTAATATTTACAATAATAGGGCCATATTAAAAGTTTTTTCCCC